TATACACATACTCGAACCTTCCCATCAGGAAGTCCGTAGGCGGTCGTTGAATTCATTCTAGTATAGTTAACATATTGTTGTTAAACACATATAATAATGTTTCCTATACATTAAATAAAGTTTTTAATGATGTCAATGATTGAAATGATAAGAATATATGAATGGAACTGGTATAAATAGGAGCCGAAAATGCGTTGGAATCCGACCGGGCACTTTAGGGCATTCCCTTAGCGCCTGGTCCCTTTTTTTATTTCTTTATCTTAGTTAAGTTATTTATTATTTCTAGACGTGTTCGTTACCTATTGTTACTAGATTTTTTTTCGTTACATATTATTTCTAGATTTATTCGTTTATTTTATTCGGTACTTATTATTTCTAGATTTATTCGTTTCTAACGCTCTAGTTTATTTGTATTGTATCGTTTTGTATTGTTTATTGTTCAACACAACACCAACAGCAGCAATCAAACACAACAATCAACACAATATTATTTTCGTTATATTTTAAGTTTATTATTTCTAGACCATTCGTTACTTATTATTACTAGATTTGTTCGTATGTTTTATTCGTTACTTATTATTTCTAGATTTGTTCGTTTATTTTATTGTTATTATTATTGCGCGGTCATACATACACCCACACAAACACATACACATACATACATCCATATATTCGTTGTTTTGTTTGCTTGATGTTTTATTCTCTTTTCTTTACTTTTTTCTTCGTAATTGTACAAATAGGTAGGATTAATTTGTAAGTTGAGCTAATTGAACATAGGTAGGTGAGTTAATTTAGTGAACATAGGTAAGTTAGGGACTCTATTCTTTCTTTCTTTCTTTCTTACGTTCTAGTTTATTTGTATTGTATTGTATTGTATTGTTTTGTTCAACACAACACCAACAGTAGCAATCAAACACAACAATCATCATAATATTATTTTCGTTATATTTTAGTTAAGTCTAGTTAAGTTGTGTATTATTTCTAGACCATTCGTTACTTATTATTACCAGATTTGTTTGTTTATTTTATTCGTTACTTATTATTTCTAGATGTGTTCGTTTATTTTATTATTATTGCGTGGTTATACATACACCCACATACACACACATACACACATACATACATACATACATACATACATACATACATACATACATACATACATACATACATACATATGTTCGTTGTTTCGTTTGCTTGATGTTTCATTCTCATTTCCTTACTTTTTTCTTCGTAATTGTACAAATAGGTAGGATTAATTCGTAAGTTGAGCTAATTGAACATAGGTAGGTGAGTTAATTTAGTGAACATAGGTAAGTTAGGGACTCTATTCTTTCTTTCTAACGCTCTAGTTTATTTGTATTGTATTGTTTTGTATTGTTTATTGTTCAACACAACACCAACAGCAGCAATCAAACACAACAATCAACACAATATTATTTTCGTTATATTTTAAGTTTATTATTTCTAGACCATTCGTTACTTATTATTACTAGATTTGTTCGTATGTTTTATTCGTTACTTATTATTTCTAGATTTGTTCGTTTATTTTATTGTTATTATTATTGCGCGGTCATACATACACCCACACAAACACATACACATACATACATCCATATATTCGTTGTTTTGTTTGCTTGATGTTTTATTCTCTTTTCTTTACTTTTTTCTTCGTAATTGTACAAATAGGTAGGATTAATTCGTAAGTTGAGCTAATTGAACATAGGTAGGTGAGTTAATTTAGTAAACATAGGTAAGTTAGGGACTCTATTCTTTCTTTCTTACGTTCTAGTTTATTTGTATTGTATTTTGTTCATCACTACATCAACAACAGCAATCAAACACAACAATCAACACAATATTATTTTAATTATATTATTATATATTATTCGTTATTTTAAATTGTATATTATTTCTAGACCTTCGTTACTTATTATTTCTAGACTGTCGTTTTATTATTAACCCCCTCATGAACGGCTGCCTTGACGTGGCGAGGGGGCTTCTCACTAAATGCCGTTCAAGTTTGTGCTTTTCCTTCTTCACTTGTTTGTTTTCTTAAAAATGCGATTCTCTATCTTTTTCGTTGTTTCATTTTTTGGCGCACTCTCAAACATGGGTTACATCAGCATTTGCAACGAATTACCCATCCAATTTATTAAATTTTGTTTGATGTTATTTTTGTTTGATGTACAATCATTATCATCGATATTAGAATGAAATCAAACTGAGAATATTTCAAATTTTTGAAAACAGTATCTTTATTCATTTTATGATACTACTTTGTTCAGTAAGATACCTATTGTTTGTTAAAAGCTATGCATTTTCATAAGCCAATAAATCCATGGAAGTCAAATAGTTCGACCTGAAAAATAAATATCAAATTCACTTTTAAATTAATATTTTGAATTATCATTTGGAACTAGCGCCGGATTTAAAATTTTTAGGCTTGTTTTCAGGATTTGAGTTTGTTTTACTATTTTTATTTTTATATTTTGTCACTAATTATCAATTTTTAAAAACGTATTATCATTGCCACCGCCTTCCGAATGTAGTACATTATCTTTTCTAATCTATCTATTCTATTCTATTGCTATCTAATCTATTAGTATTTTAATTTTTAATCTATCTATTTATTTGATAGATAATTTGTTATTCATATTGTATTGTGATAATATTGTTGTATAATATCTGACGACTGCACAAAAGAAATTGACAGAAGGATATCAATAGCCCATGGAATGTTTGCATTGTTGAAGCCTTGAACTTCTTTTGAACTTATTGAAGGAAATAGGGAAAAGTGAAAATATATCTATAAAAACAAAGTTGTGTTTGATAGATGGTACTGATATATTGCAAGAAGGTGATATCATGGATACAAGCAACAACAACCATTCAACAGATATTGATAATATTAACAACAACTATACAGGAAATATAATTGCTAGTTATTATAATCCATCCACCAATCATGTTCAAGATGATGTTTCAAATGCATCCAGTCAAATTCATGACATTTCCAATGTATCCAATCAAATAACATCTCTGGAATGCCCTGGCCTAAATTTAAAAAGATCTTATTTATGATCTCGCTAAGAAGAAGGTCGCAATCATCACCTCTGCCTATTCTTCCTGTTATAGATGAAGACAAAGTGTTAACTACTTCTACTACTGCTTTAGATTTAGAAAAATATATTATAAAAATCTCAACCAATAATTTAGAAAATACTAACATTTATCATCAGGTTGCTGTCAGTCCCATGATTTTGTTAAAATGATGTTTACTTTTAAATTGTGGTTGCTGTTGTTGCTTTATTTTTATTATTATAATTATTATTATTGTTGTTGTTATTGATTCTTGTTGTGCTAGTGGTATGCAACTCTTTTTGATAGTTTAACAAACTCTTTTTGATAGTTTAACAAACTCTTTGATAGTTTAACAAAATTGGTGCCTTATTCTTTTATGTTCTGAATGCATCTGCACGCATTTAAAAGAGGCCCTTCAAATTTATTAACCAGTTTATAACGTTAAATATTTGTTTCATAGATTCCAAAGCCATCAGAAGATAGCATGGAAACATCGCAAATGATGCCATAAGTTAGAAAAAAGTTGATAAACTCTTCAAAATGTATTGGATCCAACAGTGATTCAAGGTTTATTCAGAACTTATTTATTCCTTCATTAAATATTTTTCCATTCCTTTATTCAAAATTTATTTAATTCTTCATTCAAAATTTTTTTATTTATTCATTCAATTTTTTTAATTTTTTCATTCATTTTTTCATGTTAATCAATTTTTTTCTATACGATCATAACATTCTATCAGTTATTCAACTATCTAAGAGATGAATGAACAGTTGAATTTTCTTAATTTGAATTTAAATTTAGCTTGCTTGGACATTCAGAATGCCTTCATTGAGGTAACTGCATTAACAACAACATTACTTCCAAGTTCAATTGAACAGCAACAACAACGATGCATCAACTACGAACTGATGAATTTATCGTTGGCAGTTGTGACAATGTGAATGACAACATCAGCAACAATGGACGAGGCTCTTCATAGCGATGTTGATGCATGCACAAAACTTTTTGAAAGATTATCTGTTAGTAATTCTGATTTAAATGATTCTAATGTTAATAATGTTAACAATTCAACCGGTCCAAATAAAGTTGACACTAACAATTCCATTGATGCAAATAAAACTGATGTTGATAATTTAATTGATGCAAATAAGATTGTGGTTGGTAATTTAGTAGATCCAGAAAAGAATGATGTTGATAGTTTTTTTGATTCAGTTAAACATGAGGATGGTGTTATAAACATTGAGCCACAAAATATCAAAAAATTATATTGATGATAATTCTAAAAATAGTTTCAAAGAATATAATGTTAAAGATGTTGATGCTGATTCACCAAATGATTTCTATAATGAGTGCTTCATTATCAACAAATCCAATCAGCCAGCTGCCGCAGAACGTCAAATTGAAACCACAAACTGCAATATTGACAACAATTTCGTTACAAATTCACCCACAACTTTTAAGGAAATAATATGCTCAGAAACAACTAATAACTTTAAAGCTAATTGGCAAAAATAGGATATTGAATATCCCAGAGTTGCCCTGTCAGGGATTAGAATGGCTCCTCTTGGATCCATATTAAAAACTTTGTTATGTTATGTTTTTATGTAATAATTATGTTTTTAATTTTTATGTGTTATATTCAACATCTGGAGGGTGAGTCATTTCATTTCAATATTTTTATTCAAACCCAGCACTTTATAGACTTGGATGAAGCTGTATGTATTGATATTCAGTGACATCAAGGCTGGTAGGGAATCAGCCAACACAACTAAAGATGCATATGACCATCTTGAAAATTTATTGTCACAAATGATGCTGCAACGATTCTTAATGAATTACCGGTTAGTTAAGTTTTGTTAATAGTTGCTATTTAATGGTGTTTTGTTTGTACAAATGTACAGAAAATTTAAAATTTTTAGAAAATGGGTGCAACTTCAACTTCCAAATTAATGAGCTGACCTCTCAACAGCAGAAACAGGAATGTGTGGATGCCACAATTTTGTGTTGGTCTTTGCTGGACGTATCTAAAATCAAGCTGTTTAGATTTGTATGTGCTTTATAAATGTGTTTCTTGTAAATTTTTAACTGGTAATTTTTCATAGTGATCTTCTATTTTCTTTGACCTATTTCTTTCTTCATCACATATAACACTATAATAATATATAATCCTATACAACTCTATATAACTAATAATGCTTTTATGCTTATTATTTTATATTATAAAAGCATTTATGCTTTTATGCTGAAATTCTGTTGTTTCCTTTAATATTTGTCGCTTTTAAAATATATTTTTTTTAAATGGCGATTTTAAAAATTTCATGCAAAGGAGTCCAATTTTGACCACGTTTTTAATTTTTGCTTTATCTATTAAAATGAACTTATGAACAATTTTGATTTAGTGTAATTCGTTATTAATTGCGGTTGCTTTTTAATTATTTTCTAAGTGAAAGTTACAAGGAATAACCTTACAGTGTGCAAATGGAACGCAATAGATAAGTTTACTAAACTGTCTAAATAGATGTCAATATTTAAATAAAATAAAAATTTCCTACGAACGTAGGATCCAGATCGGTACACTAAAAAATTACAAATCCTAGATATTGTTAACCCAGCAGCGGCTAAAAATGTGTAAGGCATCAGTGAAATGGAAATTTCGCACAATGAAAAATTTACTTTGATATGCAGCCGCAGTTTGCAAAAATGAGTTTTTTTCCTTGAGTTCATTTGTTATTGTGAAATCTTTTCGTATATATATTTGTATAAATAATTTCTGTTTGGTATGTTCATTTAGTCATTGTGGTATGCTGTAAACTGTTTTTACTAAATGTTTATGTTTATTTATCGGTCTTCGACTATGATAGAAGAAACACGTAAGAATAATTAAATTAAATTAAGTTTTGCTTCCAGCAAAGTTTATAATGGGAATAATATGATAAAGCATAAGTATAATAGATAAAACATTATTAAAAAAAACTGGCAGATACGTTCATATGAATTTAAAAAAATAATTTTCATAATTTAAAAGCATTTCTCAAATTAATTTTTTTTTTTCGGTATTTTTGCAAAACTTCTTGTGTTTCTTTACATTTCTGCAGAAAACTATTCTTTAAGTTCTGAATCTGTGTGAAAATATTTATTCAATTTTGATTATTGTTTATAAATTTGTTGGTTTTATATATATACTAGTATTATTTTTGAACTGTCATTTTTGAACTTGAAAATTACTTCAGTTTTTTCCTGCTTAAGAAGTAACGTTTTGTTTAAAATCTCTTCTTGCATTCTCAGTTTTTCAGTGATAAGTTCGTCAGCAACTTTCAAGAGTAAGCTAATTCTTCTTTTAGTGTTTCGACTGGTTAAAAGTTCACTGTTTGGATCCTTACGAGATGGGCAAATTATCAGTTTGTTACTCGAGTTCCCTAAGTTAAAATATTTTTTCTAAGTTTAATTATTATAAATGACACAATTTTATATTTGATTTCAATTCTTTGGAGTAAATTTATAATTAGAAAAAGCATGCAGTTTCCAATCGTCTCGTGCAGAATTATTGTGCCAATATGATGTATCAGCAGCTATTTAACATAATTCTTTAATTCTTTTTGCATGACGGAGTTCAGTACGAACCAACGACAGGTAACTTTGAGTCCTTTGACGTTCATTGTGCAAATGAATAAGTTTCAAGCTGACTTCGAAATTGTAAATATGGTAGGTTAGGGTCACGTAAATAAGGAGGTAAACCATTCCAAACAATCGAGCCAAGAACCGCAAAGTTGCGGGAACCCGCCGCTAACTTTGTAGTCGGGATAATATATATATATAATATACAGTGTTGTATAGATTACTTTTGGAAAGTAATCTAATTACAAATTACTTTTAAAATTAGCTTGAGATTACAGATTACTTTGCAATGATGTGTCCGATTACAGATTACATCATCAAACTTTTTGAAATTACAGATTACAACAACAACACACGTTTAGACGGCATTTTCCCCGAGATCGGGGGTTGCCGTTTGGCTACCTATGATAAAACCGAAATACCCCTCGACGCCATCCACATCTGTCACTCGCCTCAGTATCACGCAACCCCGCTTTCACCCTGTCCTTCTCCACCTGCTCTCTCCATCCCAATCGCGGACGACCCCTTCCTACCGACCCCTTCCCTCCAACGCTCGCCTAATCCCGACCCTTTCATCCCTTCTCAACACATGTCCATACCACCGCAATCAGTAGTATTGCGGTGGTATTCACTAGATTTCGTTATCTACTTTTCATATTTAACGTCAGTGCATGGGTAACTGCTTTCTGGTAGCAACGTTTCCATAGTCTAACTTATTGCATGCTATAATAAGATTCGTATACATATATTAGTATGAACTTGGTCTCCATAATTTAACTAACTGCATGCTGTTATAGACCTTGTATGCATATATTTGTACATACATATGCATATATTTGTGTAATAATATGCTCCGAATACCATATAGCCGATATTTTATGTATTTCTCTTATTGCGTTATTTATACACTGGACTCCTTCGACATTGATTTTTCATCTGCAATTAGGACCCTGCAACCAATTATTTAATTCTAGAATTATCTGTTCTTTATATGTTTGATGCGTTTGTTTGTCTCAATTAACTGTTTAATTTTATAATTTTAGATTCGGTTTTTTATTGTTTGACGCCTTTTCAATTACTATTTTCAATTACAATTGTTCCCTGCAAATGACTTCTTTTAATTTTAATTTTAATTTATAATTTCAATTTTAGATTATTTAATTGTTGTTTTACGCGTTACTTCTTTTATTGCAATTTCCTCATTTAGTACATTTAATTCGTTTTGGTTTTAGTAAATTTGATGTTGATCCTTTCATTTTAATTTAATTTAATCATGACCCTGCAATTAAACGTTATCATTTCACCTTGATGACACGTATGAGTTTACTTTGTTTGGTTCATTTTAGATGGTTTTAATTCATTTGACCTATTTTCTAATTTATTGTAAATATTTTTTATATGACATACGCTATTGATATATATTTATATTTTGTCATTAAACAGTCTGCTAGTCCTGATGAGAATTACTATAAAATTCGAAACACTTGTGTAGACAGAGCAGACTGTCCACTGATACTCCACGTCGTTATTGATTTTTTCTTGGAAATAAAAGACTTGCACTCATTTCTACGAGTTTCTACCCACACGGTCGGTGTCGTGTTAACATACATTTGATTACGAATATCAAACTTCATTTAACCCTTATCAATGTCACAATGTCCTCATTCAGTCCCATCATTGACATCAGCTCTGTACTACTCCTCCTATCCTTCACTTTAACCCCACACATCATCCTCACCATAGCTCTTTCAGCCCTCTGCAGTACACTTTCCTCCTCTCTCCTCAACACCCAAGTTTCACCACCATATACCATCGCTGCTCTCACACATGCTTTATATACCCTCCCTTTCATCTTCACTGACCATTTCTTTCCACACAATACCCCACCCAGTTCCCTAAATTTCATCCATCCCACACGAACTCTAGCCGTAACTGCGCTCAAACATCCTCCATCCGCATTCAGCTTATCCCCTAAGTAAACAAAGCTTTCCACTCTTTCAATACCACCACTTTCAATGAAATTACAGATTACATCATAAGAATTTTATTTAATGAATGTCACATAGTTTTATGAATTATTGAATTATTAAATTGTAATTATTCATAAAATAATTTAAAAAATTGCATTTTTTTTAAATTTCATGAAATTTCAAACAAGTTTGAACCAGAAGCGACTTTGCTTATCCTGCTTCATAACGTTCTTGAGCAGACCAACTTTTTAACATTACGTGGGCGGTCTAATTAAAAAGCATACGACGTCAATGGATAAACTATTTCTTTTGATTAAGTCTTTTTTTTTAGTTTTTTAACTTTAAATTTTAAAAATCTTAGGTATTGTTGTCGTTAAAGTAATCTAAAATAAAGTAATCGTGACACCTGTTTAGATTACAGATTACACAAAAAATGTAATTTGATTACAGATTACTTTTATAAATGATGCGATTACAGATTCAAAAAAATGTAATCGATTACGTAATCGGATTACTTGTAATCAGATTACTATACAACACTGATAATATATATATATATATACTCATAGAATATATACATATTCATATATATCAAGCAGTTGAAAAACGTAAAAAATGTATTGACTTTCATTTTCAATATCATTCTAGTAGAAAAGAATTGAAAATGCCTTACTGGCTTTTTCTTCCTGTTTACAAAAGATTGTCAACAAATTATGATTTGTTAAAATTCGTTTATCTCTTTTGCAGTGATCCAATGTTGTTTGTTGCTGATCGCTGGCAGCTGCTGCTTCCATTCCCAACGCAGCTGGACGATCATCCATCTGACAATGACGTGCAAGCGCAAGTGACGCGCTTGCTGTCGTTGGTTGCATGTGTGTTATTTTCAACTCATTGTCGTCTTTCTCTTCCTTTTCCGTTGGAGGTGGAGTATGAGCAAAGTGAGACAATGGGTAAATTACTGAAAGAGGTCGTGATGGATAGGTTTGCGAAAATAACATTGGTAAAGTTTCATGCGTTTTGTCATTCGTTGTGAAAGTTTGTTTAGAATCCATTTTTAACAGTGATTAATGAATGATTGATTTATAACAGAACATTTCAAAATTACGTTGTAATTTAACTTTTTCAGAAGGGGTATTGAAAGCAAAAAAATTATGTGAGAAATTTTTTTTCTTTTAATAATGTCTTTTGTTTGAATATTACTTAACTTATTTTATTTTTTAGATGTTTACATTTACATTTTGACGTTCATTCTGCAGCAACATAGATCTTCAATTCGTAAGGAGAAATTTTAAAAATTGAGTGTTTCATCATTTAACTTAGCAACTTTTCCACGTGGCAGGTTGATATAACGTAACCATCGTCTCGTTTCTACCGAAGCCTCTGTTTTTTGTTTCTGATCCACAATGATTCTCAGTCATTATAGGCCTATTATCAGAAAAGTTGGCCTCCTCAGTTAAAATGTTGGACCCCCGTTGCCAAAAAGTGTTTTTCAAAATTTTCTAGATGCAATGCGCCACTGTGTGTATCATGCGCTGTGCATGTGGCACAAAAGTTTTACCACATGGAATGATGCAGTAAGCAGTTTTCTGCATTTTCACAGCTGCATAATAAGGAACAAAAATTTACTAAAGCCATATTATACTGGTGTTATGAGCGTTACATTTTGAAATTTAATCAGCTTGATAGTTTTGAAGATTGACACAGACAAGGATGGCTATGTAGTAGACAAGGCTGAGTTAACAACTTGGATTGAGCACACGGAATTGGTGTTAATAGGATTATATTATATTATATGGAAAAATTGAAAAGAATGGAGCAGACGTCGGGCGTGTGGACGATGAAGGTGCGTCTGGTCGTCATGCCAGGCTCAATAGATGTCGTTGATCCCAACAGCGGACATCTCATCGAAAGGTGAGATGCATAATTGCTATTAATTATTATTTGCCAGTGTCATTTATTTTCAATTCTCACATTATGGTTTTTTTAATATTGAAATCATTTTCTCCCGAAGCTTCCCAATGAGTTTTTGAGGAATAATATAAAATTTTTACGCATGCATCGCGTTCGATAGCTACAATATAGCTACAAGCTGAACACCCCTTCTGAAGAGCAAAGTAGAACAACCCACCTGATTGCCTGCGTCAGTTGATCATTCGACTGGGAGGTGGATGGATCGATGATCAATGATTTTATTGCGATGAGGAATCTTGACGACACCTGCTTTATTCCTGGCAGGTTGATGTTATTATCGTCATCTACAGACATCAAAACATTTCTCCTTCATGCTGCAGCTCTGACAGACACGCAACTGCTCACACGCTGCACTTGTCTAAAACATGATCTCTTCCTTCATCCTCCTCTTCATCACTCCATCTTATTCTTGCAAAATTGAACTTGCACAACAATTGACTAACTTTGGTAATAAGGTACCTACAAATAGCTTATTACTTAATTTTTAAATTATGGTTTACTTATTCCATATATTATAAATTGCATATGTCTGTATTATATTTAGATAAATTTTATCCTAATAACAATTGGAATGATGATTGCAAGTTTGTTGTAGTGATGTTTAGCTCAGTTTAAATGAATATTGAAATTTTTTTTTTTTATTAATTTATAAATTTATTAATTTATAATTAAAAGAATTATATTTTTTATTTGCCAGAGTGAACAACGGAGTGAAACAAGTAGAAGAGTCATCATTGAATGCGGCAATCCATGTTTTCTATCTTTCAGCTGTCATCACTTTTATTATTCGAATTCGCTTGTTTTGTTATTAGTTGTATAGAGTTGTATAGGATTATACATTATTATATAGTGTTATATACGGTTATATAGGCTTATATATAGTTATGTAGAGTTATTGATTATATATAGTTATATAAACATGAAAATGTAAGACACAAACATACACATAATAATAAACATTAAAATATTATCGTTTTTTATCTGTACGTGCGTTCGTACGTACATTTGTTTGTTTGAATGTATGCGTATGTATGTATGTTTGCATTTGCGTTACAACCTTGGACGACAGGAGATCTTTGACTGGCCACTGCCGACCTCTAACGAACCTGAATAATAAGTAAATATTATTATTATTACAAGAGCATTTATTATGAATAGTGAGCATGTAGAATATTAACCATTATAGAACGAAATTGTATAAAAAGCGTTTAAGTAATGACTGGACAAATGTGAATAAATGAATAATGAATGAAAGAATGTTAGTGTGTTATATTGATCAATATGACGACTCAATGAACCGATGCTTATATAATAGTCCTCAATAAAATCTGGAACTAACCAAACTTAAAGTAGAAACCGGTTGAAACTGATTTGTAAATTTGCTTCAACAGATTTTTGTGAAGAAAGCATTTTATTTTCATAATTTTACAACATTGATATTTCACTTCAAGAGGAAATAAAATTATCTTCATGTCTGGGATGCATTCTGTTGTTTTCTTTGTGGCTGTTTTTGTTATAAATTGTGAGTTGTACTTAGGTCCGGATGATTTTATAATGTTTCAATTTGATCCTCCATTCACATCTTCGCAAATTCTGTTTTCAAATATTTCAAATCATTGAAAATTTGAAATATTGTTGTTCTTCACAAAGCTATCACAAACATTTTATTTAAATCATTCTTATTAATGGATTAATTAATTTATTAATTAATTAAATGATTTAAATGATTTAAATGCATTTTTAATTAGTATTCTCAGTGGCAGGGTCCGATGGTAGGGAACATGAGGCTGATGGCTTTTTCAAAGTTGTGCAAGTGGAGCCAAAATTTGCATACTACAACGTGCCAACCAATGTGAAAGTACATTTCAAATCTGCAATCAACAACCTGAGCTCGGCATGCAAATCCAGTCAATTTGGTTTCTACATGCTAGAGGATTTTACTTACGATGAAAATTCTTCCATCATATACAAGAGGTAGAAATTAATTTTTTTGACCATATGCCTTGTACGGTTTAATTAGAATATTCATCTATGTTAATAATGGTCTCATTAGAAGGCCAATAGGAAGTAAGTATTAGAATTTATGTTTAATTATTTTATATAAGACAAGTTTCAGTTCCTCATCTTGATTTGAGGGTTTTAAATGGTGAAACAGTTGTGACCTATACTGCATGAACTATTTCACATACTGCCAATTATATTATTGTATAGTGATTAACATTAATCACCATCATTGAAAATAATTTTCGAAATGAACGTCTGTTAACAGATTGACGGTAAAGAATGATGACGATGATTATGGCAGCGAAGGATGTATTTTGCTGGCCAGCGTTTTAAAATCCAGGGGCAGTTTACAGTTGCGAACGGAATCAAAACTTTTCCTCAAATTCAACAAACGAATCATAAATACTAATACATCCTTCTTGTTCAAACCTAAAAGTTCATTTCAACCTTCTATTACGCCTTCAGCCACTATCATCTCGTCAGTCATTCGTTGTTGCTCTTTGCTATTTTTCTTTTATTTTCATCATCGTGCTTGCTGATATTAGAGTTGATGATGTATCTATCAGCTTGCAAATCTCAATAGAAATTTTTTTATTGAAAACAGTGATAATCAATAATGACGCAAAGTAATATTAATAATATTGTTGAATAAATCAGCGGAGGAACGCGGGTTGTCATCAGCGGTGAGAACATCGATCAGTCCGCTGGCGACCTCAAGATGTTCGTTCAATGTTTTGAAATGGATAGTGGTCTTTATTGGGAGAACCAAGTTGATCCTGCTTTTATATCATTAAGTTATCATTGCCGTCATCATTATATTATAATTGACATTAAGTTATTAATATTATCGCCGTCATCATAGTAATTATTGCTGATGTTGTAATTATGAACACGTTGATTGATTCGAAGGAGACTTGCGAAGTGGCGTCACCGACATCTGTCCAATGCAAACAACCGAAACTTTTGTTTTCTGAGAAACTGATGAAAAATTTGAGATTGAAAGCAGAGGAGAACATTTCTGTTCCGTTAAATTTGACTGGGAGAGCTCAGTTAACGTTCACTTTGATGTTCGAGAATGAATCACATACGCTGACGGCACCCAGTATCTACAACGACCCCATCATCGACACATTCCATCCTTATGTGCAGACTTTCGACATCGAGAAAGATAAAAGAATTTTTATAAAAGTCTGTATCCATTTGAAAATGTATTCAAATAATTAATAAGTATTACGATTTGACAATATATAGGCACGATTAGCTGAATAAGCAACTGAATTCATTAAAAAATTTATTTAAAAGTTGTAAAATAGATTCGTTTTTTATTATTATTTTCTTACTCATTTTCATCATCATAACCACCACCACCACCACCATCGTAATCATCATCATGATGACCACCACCATCGTAATCATCATCATAACCACCACCATCGTAATCATCATCATGATGAGGGCAAGTGGGCGAAAGTGAAATGGTCAGCTGCACACGAGGTGCTGATAACGGTTGGTGATGGTAGATGCGAAGATATAAAGAGGGAGAGCAGGTTCGAAATTTCATGCTGCCCTTCGTTTGCCGCCACTCCATCTTTGCTTCATCCAGCGAAACCTTTGTTGGTGAAGGTTCGTCTGTTCTTCGTCGCTTGGTTCATTGCTCGATGAGATGGCTGATGTGTCCGCCGACTGGTTGGAATATCAGTACACTCTTTTCGATTATTCAATCTTAGCGGGCTTGTTTTTTTGTTACGTTGTTTGTTTAAAAATAAATATTGAAAGATGATAAACTGGAGATAAATCCAACACTGGCACCAGGTGGAGATAGGTCACGCCACGTACCAACTCGGCTATCTCAAATACAGCAGTACCAAAGTCATCTTCAACGTCATCATCATCACCATGGTGACCATTTTATCATTGGTTGTGGTGGTTAGTTGCATCACAAGCATTATTGCGTGCTTGTCGTCATCATCATCACGAAATAATAATGGAGTGAAAAGGGTTGGCAGAGAAGAAAGAATGAAAGAACCTGTGTGCGGTGACCAGGGAATTGAAACCAAACGATTAATTAACACTAGACCGTGAAATTTTACGTTAATTTTTATAAAGCTTTAATATTTTTTCTTGAATAATTAAGTTTGATGTATTTTTGTAAGAAACAGATTGTTTTGTAAGATACAGATCGATCGATTGTTTTGTCTGATGGACTCGATTTAAAAGGCGATATCAGCCAGAGTGTTATTTCTTCTTTCCCAACCAGATACCTTGGGTTAAACAAGTTTTTATTAATTCTTTTAATAAATTACTTACATTGAAATGGTTTTAGAAAAGTATTAGCATGTTTGCAGGGACGTTATG